CCACGCCTGCCACGCAAAACGACGGGGGATGTGAGTTTGTGCCACGCCTGCCACGTGAAACGAAGGTGAATGTCACCAAGTGCCACGCCTGCCACGCAAAGTGGCGCGGCGCCCCGGGCGACAAATCCGGACCAAGCGCGCCACCCAGTGCCATCTGTCCCACGCCTGCCACGCAAAACGACGGTGGATGTCAGGTTGTGCCACGTCTGCCACGTGAAACGAAGGTGGGTGTCACCAAGTGCCACGCCTGCCACGCAAAGTGACGCGGCGCCCCGGGCGACAAATCCGGACCAAGCGCGCCACACAGTACCATGAGTGCCACGCCTGCCACACAAAACGACGGTGGATGTGAGTTTGTGCCACGCCTGCCACGTGAAACGAAGGTGGATGTCACCAAGTGCCACGGCCGCGACGCAAAGTGGCCGGCGGGCCCGGGCGACAAATCCGGACAAGCGCGCAACAGTACCAATGAGTGCCACGCCTGCCCACGCAAAACGACGGTGGATGGAGTTTTGTGCCACGTTGCCAGTGAAACGAGGTGGAGTCACCAAGTGCCAGCGCCACCGCAAAGTGGACGCGGCGCCACCGGGCGGACAATCCGGACCAAGCGCGCCACACAGTACCATGAGTGTCACGCCTGCCACGCAAAACGATGGTGGATGTGAGTTTGTGCCACGCCTGCCACATGAAACGAAGGTGGATGTCACCAAGTGCCACGCCTGCCACGCAAAGTGGCGCGGCGCCCCGGGCGACAAATCCGGACCAAGCGCGCCACACAGTACCATGAGTGCCACGCCTGCCACGCAAAACGACGGTGGATGTGAGTTTGTGCCACGCCTGCCACGTGAAACGAAGGTGGATGTCACCAAGTGCCACGCCTGCCACGCAAAGTGGCGCGGCGCCCCGGGCGACAAATCCGGACCAAGCGCGCCACCCAGTGCCATCTGTCCCACGCCTGCCACGCAAAACGAAGGTGGATGTCAGGTTGTGCCACGCCTGCCACGTGAAACGAAGGTGGATGTCACCAAGTGCCACGCCTGCCACGCAAAGTGGCGCGGCGCCCCGGGCGACAAATCCGGACCAAGCGCGCCACCCAGTGCCATCTGTCCCACGCCTGCCACGCAAAACGAAGGTGGATGTCAGGTTGTGCCAAAGTGTATGGTGACAAAGTGTGTGGTGACAAAGTGTGTGTTGACGAAGTATTCGTTGATAAAGTGTGTGTGGACAACCTGTGTGGTGACAAAGTATGTGGTGACAAAGTGTGTGTTCACGAAGTATTCGTTGATAAAGTGTGTGTGGACAACCTGTGTGGTGACAAAGTATGTGGTGACAAAGTGTTTGTTGAGAAAATGTATGTTGACAAATTGTATGTTGATAAAGTGTGTGTGGACAAAGTGTGTGGTGACAAAGTGTTTGTCGAGAAAATGTATGTTGACAAAGTGTATGTTGATAAAGTGTGTGTGGACAAAGTGTGTGGTGACAAAGTGTGTGTGGACAAAGTGTGTGGTGACAAAGTGTATGTTGATAAAGCGTGTGTGGACAAAGTGTTTGTGGACAAAGTGTTTGTGGACAAAGTGTGTGGTGACAAAGTGTGTGTGGACAAAGTGTGTGTGGACAAAGTGTGTGGTGACAAAGTGTGTGTGGACAAAGTGTGTGGTGACAAAGTGTGTATGTTGATAAAGACGTGTGTGGACAAAGTGTTTGTGGAAAATGTATGTGGTGACAAAGTGTATGTTGATAAAGTGTGTGTGGACAAAGTGTGTGGTGACAAAGTGTGTGTGGACAAAGTGTGTGGTGACAAAGTGTATGTTGATAAAGTGTGTGTGGACAAAGTGTGGAGGAGGGCGGAGGAGGAGGCGGAGGAGCAGGCGGAGCCCGGGATACAGAATCAAAAACAAGAACCCCACACAAAGATGTGGGGAATTATTAATATACATGTAAGTAAAACACAGTGTTTCCTCTGGGCCTGATGCTACCCCCTGATGCTCAAAGTTTCATGTGCCGCACAAAGTTGGACCTGATCTGATTGGTGGCCCTCATGCCACTTTTTGATTTGTCCTGGGTGACCCATGCCAGCATTTCGGGATCTTCCATCAAATTCTTGCCAGGAGAGCGCGCTATCCACCTAGGGGTGCAGCCGAATGTGGGATCTCTGCAATCCATGATATCTTGGCTACATGCTGCCAACTGGATCAGTCCAAAACTGTGTGGGATGAGCCCAAATGAGAACAGCTTTGCTCCTCCGAACAAATCAAACCATTCTCACGAGGTTTCCCGCGTTCGGGCACCCATCATCAAAGATCATCAAAGGATGCTTTAAATCTTGATTAAATCTTGATTAAATCCTATTGGATCCCAATATTGTTTATGCTTAAGTCCCCACATCTGTGGTAAGAATTCCCATGGATGGTCCAAAATCCCCATCCGCAGCTGGGTCGCAGCAACAGAAGGAGGGCTCCCATCACCGAAGCAGCCAAGCCCTTCCGCAGCAGCAGCGCCGGAGGCGGAGGCCAAGTCGGGAGCTGCGGAGTCAACGCCTGGAGCTGTGGTGTCTACCCCAAGGCGGTGGTGGTAGGCCCATCCCCCGTTATTAAACAGCCCCATTCTATGGTCCCATGTGTAGATCACCTAGTAGACCATGGTGACTCTGGGGATGTTTAATGTAGGGGGATGGGATTAGTAACAGTATAAACTGGTATAATAACTTCAATCTGTACATAGTTACACGTCTATACGCCTCTACCTGGTTACTTGCAGTCACTCACCTATGCTGTTGCCGCCTTAGCCCATGGCAGCCCAGCAGCTCGCACTTTTCCTCTACGCACGGCATGGGCAGAGGTCTACACAGGACACATCTGGTGACCCTCGAACCTGTGCGAGATGGAGCACCTGGTTGACTTATGTTGGCTTGAGGACTCTCAATTTAACCAGTGGACCGGTGAAGCAACATCTTCATGAACAACATATCGCACTTTGCCATCCTTTGTGACTTCATGCTAGACATGGCTGGATTGTGTCCATCTGGGGGCTATCTTTGTCTCGCCCAAACTGGGACGATCAGCCCTTTTTCGGCATGGCCAGTAGCCACACTGCCGGAGCTTGGTTCTACTAGTGGATTCTGATATACTCAGCTGGTGGTTGCACCCGCGATCGCTTGTAGTGGATCCTGGGCCGGTGCCCACATTTCCCACTGCGATTTTTCAGCTTCGCACATGGAAAACAACATGTCATGACCACTTGGATTCACTTGTTCAGGACGTTTCAGGACCTACAGCATCTCCTGCTGCCCACCCTTCCAACAGGATTTCCGAGACTTCTCCAGTAACGAAACTGGAATGACGCTCTGGCAACGGATCACCTCAGAACGACCTGAAATTAAAATGACATCTTGTGGTGACTTCCAGTGCTTAATAAGATCGGGTACTAATAGCAGCTAATAGCAACTAATAGCAACTAATTAAATGAAAAATAAAAACATCAAAAAAACTACACTGGGGGGTGGCTCGACTGGCTTGTGGTTCGAGAACCCATGAAATCAACCCCATCAATCTCAACAAGACTTTTGCGAGGCCAGGGATACAATGACAATGGGCTACCCCATTTTCCAAATCCCACATCCATCACCAAGATTCAGCAAGCAGAGCACACCCATCACTGTCATGTACACCCCGATGATGAGGCCGAAGCCTGAAGACGCAAGCGCTCAGCGTGGCAATTGCGAATGGGATAAACGCATAGCTACCATTGTCATTGTCATAAAAAATGCATCACAATTAGATTTTGTATGATTTTGTCACAGGTAGATATGCATATTGAGGATCCATATTGTACATATACCAGCCATATGATGCCATATGTACATGCTTACAGCTTTAGATCTCAAGCTGTGTCCATGGATTGTGCCACGAAGCTGAGCAAGCTGGAACACAATGTGCAGAGTGTTCCTCGCGCGTTACGGAGTCACGTTCTGACAGTAACTGCTTCTTACGCCACCTGAGTTTGGGACAATCGGGTACCAGCCAAAATAGTGATTTCACCAGCACAAATGGTGATTAACATTGATTAACCAGCTGAAGTGGGATGGCAGTCCTTGGAAGACATAGAACAAGCCCCTACCCCACAGCATAGTCAGGCCCTTAGCCCACTCGTGCATCCACTTTTGCACAGGAAGGAGGCTGTCGTGCAGCTGTGTGATGAAGGAGGGATCACTCTCTGTGACCATAGTGACGGCCCCGAAAAAGACCATGTAGGCATTCACCACATAGTAGATCGGCTCATCCAATACCTCGGGATGAATACCCTGGCTGGTTGCTGGTTTCAACAGGCTTCCATCCAAATAATACTACAGTAACATGTATTAGTCCATTGATGTACATTGGTTTCATCATGTTTCATCATTCATGGAAAATATGTTCAACATTGTTCAACCACCAGGCAGCTGTACACCAAGGCATTGTCTGTTTCAAGTGACCTGCAAATTTGCACAAGTGAGCCCTACCCGAACATCTCATAGCCACACTACTCTGTGGTGTGCAAATGAATTGATCTCTTAAAGTCGCCAGAGAAGAACACATCCCAAAAAAGAAGTGCACCTCTAAAAGCCTTCTTTGAGGCCATGCCAGGTTGCATCAAAGATATCAATTACGCTCAAGAGACCATTCAGCACAATAGCTGCACCACCAGCAAAGCAACCCACCTTGATGCGGTGTGGAGCCTCTTCGATATATTCCTGGAGCTTCGCAAAGTGGTCCTTGGTTTCTGCCGCCAGCTTGAGCCTTTAGCTCCCCAGAATTCCAGAAAAGCCCAGCCAAATCCAACGCATAGTCTCCATGTGCCGTTCTACTCTTGGGTTCGGCTGTTCTGATTACTTGTTTGTATAATATACATATCATATAGGTGTCATATGGTGTCATGGATGTAGGTGTGTGTGTATATATATGTGTGTGTGTGTGGTTCAATCAAACTGCGCATTCCTTTCAGGAGCCTGGAAAAGAGGGTCTCGAAAATCATCCTCCAATTGAAAGTTGACATGTTGCGGTTCCACCCTAGTTTTGCAATTTTGCACTGCAGGTTGACATGTTTTCGCCGAGCAGCTGAGATCTCTTTCAGAGACTTCTTGTGCGTCTCATCCATTGCACCGGGTGCTGAGAACCGGACCCGATCTGCCACTTGAGCTGGGCAGCTGTGGCGGAATATGTAGCGCCGTTGGCTGCTTGGATGTCACAACATCAACCCATCAAAGAATTGTGGAGGTCCAGAGTCCAAACCCTACGCGAAGCCCGACTATGGCCATTTCAAATTTCTAGTGGTCAAATGATCTTTTTTGAGGACGCTATTTCTCGGGTTCTATGTGCAAAGTGAAAGGGTTTTATCATCATGTTTTATCTGTGACCTTGAGGGGCTGCTCATACATTGAAGTTTTGTAGGATGGTGGCATCTCCCGGATGGGTCAAACCCCCGGAATACAATATGTTTCACATCAAATAGCTGATAGTTATCCATGCTCTTCCCGCATTCATTTGGGTTTGTCCAGTGATTCATAATACGACATAGCCCTCTAACAGCAATGTTTCTCCCATCTGCAGGCCTGCAGCCTTTGCAGCAGCTGGCGCCATCTCACTGACAGCCGCAGAGCCACTAAGATCGCGAGCACCGGCGCCACACGTGTCAGGGCTAGCGGACTTTGTGGCATGGCGGCAGGGGATGAATATATCAGATGATATCTGGTGCTAGAGCCTTGCAAAATATCTTGCGGCTAAAGAATGAAGCTGAACGACACTAGGAGGTTCACTTGTCATTCAGAGTTCAGGAAGTGACTCCAGGTCCTAGGTAGGAAGCCAAAGAACTCATGGATTCCTTGGGGCTGGGCGACACTGTGCGTGTGTGTGGCATATGTCCTGACCAACTGCTATATAATATATACCTTGAAGCCAATGGCTACGCACGGCTAGATTCGTGGATCCCAGCTGAAGAGAAGAAACAAAGAATGTTCACGGTGATTCTTCTGTTTCCTGTATAATTAGTCATTCCTCTATGTTCAGAGGTTAACCACCATTTGGAGTACCCTGTCATTCACCACCAACAGGTGATGCTTGGAACTCAAGCTGTTCGTCAGTTTCTTTGGGGCGATGAGCTAAAGTTGTGTTGGTTAAAAACGTCCGAATTCATCAAAAGCGCTGCAATTTAAATTGGCATCTGTTTGTTCCATGTCTTGCGTGATTTAATTGGCATGTGTGCGTTGTTATTTGCACGTACATGCATACCCTATGTACAAAAAATGTGCATAGCCGCATAGCAGAATTCCGTGCACCTGTTTCTTGAAGGGGCATCTCTTCCTTCTCCATCCTATTCCACCTCCCCTCTGCCTCAAAGCCTGGGCTGCAAGGCTTTGTGTGAACTGCTGCGGCTGCAATCGAACCTCGCAAAATGCAGGTCTGATCGCCAGCACAACTAGGCGCACTATAACAAACAAAGAGATACAAAAATATGCAACACAAAACTGAGTATGCAACTTCGCGCAAGCTTGGATTTAAATCAATATGAACAACAAGAATGGCACGTCACACTATGGCACGAAGCAAAATGACCATGTAAGCCGACGGAAACGGAAACTAAACTCCAAAATGGGAATGTAAAGTAACCATAAGTAACCAACTATTCAACCAAGGATCGATCTCCCAAACCTCCCAAAGCCAGAACAAAATCCTCAGGCTGCCAGCATCCACAGGAAGCCCTTCCACCACTTCCTGGCCTCATCTGGGATGTGCTTGTTCAGCAAGAACATTGCAACCTATCAGGGAGGCCTGTTCACTGACACCTCATCCTGACTTGGATTCAAGGTGATCGTTCATCTCCACCATCTGTTCTTATCGCCATTGCGTTGGCGCCATTCTTTCCATTCTTTTCCAGCAACATCATCTTTCAGACCTTTCAGCTACATCACAACACCTATAATGTCACTCAAGTATATTGATGTCTTGCGTGCAGCCTAAAATCCCTAACTGCAAAGAAAAACGTAGATGGAAAAAAAACATTCACCATCATTCACCACTATTTTAGATTTTAGAAGGATGTTGCTCTTTTTCTTTGCTTTTCCACCCTGAAGCCGTGGAGAAGCCCATGGCTTTCTTCGGAGAATGATCTCCGTTCAGAACGTGGGTCATCTATGGCCGCTTCCAGGCGCCTCATCCGAGAAGTTGTTGCAGTTGTGCTGTAAAACCTTGGTCACGAGTAATGGAGCAATTCACTGTGGTAACGGGAATACCTCGGTGAATCACCATGCATTTAATAGCTGAGCATGTGCGAAATATTGTGAAATAATGATATGAGATCATATGTGATATGCGATTCTCTTGGAATGACTATAATTGCGGTTCATCGTCTTGGAGATGTTTGGACCCACAAAATGACCAAAATGTAGGTGCAGCCAGTACAGCTGGGGAGATGTTCGACATCTTGGATTCCCAGGGTCATGCGCCTCGCCCCACCCTCGCCTCCACCCTTCGGAGCGACAGATTGGCTTCCAGTAAGTTCCAGACATCGTAGGATTCGCGGGTGTACTCTCTGCATAACTCCTGGCCGAAAGGGACCAGGTTATCCTGGGCATTACCTTCCGGTAACGTAAGATAACTCTAGAAAATTGCCTTTTTACAGATCATTTACCCAGTAAAAAAAGGTGAGTTTCCATAGCTATGTTAAATTCTGAGAGGATAATAATCATTGAGAAAAATGGTCCAACACACTGGGGAAGTTTTCGCCAATAGACAGGGATTGACTAAAGGTGAAGTGAGGCATCATCGCTTGCCTGCAATCAGCCAGGTTTTTGTTGCTTTCTTCGGAGGCTTAGGGACCTGGCGACCTCCTCTCAAGGCACCCTGTCGCTGAACCTTCCCGGGATCACTGTAAAGATGTGGACTGTGGACCACCTGATAGCACCTCTAGTTGAATAACTGAATAATTGAGATAAATTTGGCAATGAAGTTTTGGAGTTGGATCTGTGGGGGATGGCGAACCGGTGGTTTGTGAAACTGGTTTTTGGAGTTCGTCAGATTTGTTGCAAACCTTGTTTGAAGCCTGGGGCTGTCGTTTTTCCAACTTCCTCCGGGAAGGTTCAAAAAAACGCATGCTAAACATTCGAAGACCTTGCTGTCCCATCACTTCATGAAGGGCACAGCAGGCTGCTAAGACATAGCAGCTAGTGGATGCTAGTGGTGCCATTCAAAATCACCTTGCAAGCAACTGCTTCGACTGGCCTGGCCTTGGATGCAACCTAACAAATCAAAATCGCCCACCTTCCTTGTACCGCTTCATGATTCTTCATACATGGTTTATGTACCTGGAACAGTTGGTTGGCTGCACAAATTCATCGAACTCCATCCAAATGATGCCCTTAGAAGCAGGGTGGCCGACCACGTTTACCTCTGGCCCAGCCCTCCTCACCATGGGATGGCCAACTATTTCAGATCATGGCTTCGTCTCTTGGGCTTCAAGGGGTGGATCCCCGAAGGCGTAGGTCCATCCCAGGGATGGCTGAACAAACTGCCTGGACCAATGCGCACCCCATTCACATAGTCATGCAGCCTGCGAGGAGGAAATTGCTGGGATGAGCACTTTTAAACAGGTGTCCCTGCTGAGATATGGAAATCTGGTGGAATTTAGGCACTGGTGCTGGCCCATTTGCTAATGATCCCAGGTCTGCCCCAGCCTTCCCCAGCCAATCGGACAACTCTCATCCATCCCCTCTGTGGAGACAGGTGGTGGCGTCGGCTGTTGTGAACACTCTTGTGCAGAGACGATCACCGGAGCCTTCCTTGGTGCTGCCGCGTTCCATATAAGTTAAGAAATTTGCAAACAAGACTGGGCACAGGATGCATATGGATTGGGGCTCCCAATCCAGCCTAGGAACTCTTTAACTTTGGCAGCTCGGGTTGTGTACTGATGGACATGATATTATATATATATATGTGTGTGTGTGTGTCTGTATATGTGTTATCTATGTATATATATATATATACGTGCATATATATATAATGTATACGTATATGTGTGTGTGGACTGTATGTATACAATTTGTTTATATACATATTTATTCATTGATTTATTTATATATTTACTTGCTTAATTATTTAGTTGTATCAATTTATATATTTATATTTATTTACTAACTTATATAAAATTATTTATAGATATATGGACTATATGTGTGTGGACACTGTTGAATCCAAATGCTATAACGTGCACTGTTCCATAACATGCACCATTCCATCCTTTCAACATCCGAATTACTGGCCAGCCTCGCGCTCAATGAGCAACCAACATCCAACATGTACGGCCATAGCCATATCATGAGTTTTCATGAATTTTCCATATTTTCCCTTCCCTATACATCCTTCATCCTACCATCTTCCCATCCACCAAGCTTCGGCTTGTCTACTTGCAGCCCATGCCGCATAGGAGCCATCACCGGTGCCTTGTCCCTTCGCGGCTTTGCCGCGCGCGGCTCAGGCCGCCCTGAGCCCAGCAGCCGCGGACTCGGCTGCTCCAAGGGCAACAGCTCCGGCGGGAGATGGGTGACCGGAGGCAACAGAGGCAACGGAGGCAACAGCCGGGGCTTTCGTTTCCACTGATTCTCCTGAGATCATCTGGGATCAGCCAGCGGTTCATTGTTCTAAGGAGGGTTCCAACTTGGACCAAGGCCACACAAAAGTGGCAGTCCAAGCTTGGAAAAGGAAGGCTGGTGGATCATTCCTTCAGGGCCTAAGTGGCTGAGTAACTATCAATCACTGTGAGATTTTGCCCCAACAGCCAGGATCAGCACAAGCCCGCGACATTCAGGGTCCTGCCATTTCTGCTTTTGCTGCCGCTCCTTTTCCTTGATGCAAATGTAAGCCGGTTGAAGAAGCAAGGGATGGGGAGGCAAAATCTGGAACAGCGGTGAAGGCTACGTCACACAGAGATACAGAGTGTGTGTGTATATATATGCAATACATACGCATGCGTGCACACAATATCACGCAACGTGATTTAACTATTATTTATTACACATGATGTTTGATGATACATTGAGCTTTTGGTAATACCCGACCGGCACAACTCAAAGCCTGACCTGCACAAGCGTACGCATCGGTGATTTCGAGCCGAGGAGCCAAAAGCCACTGCGACACTTTTTGCTGTCTCTTACTGACGAAGGGGCCTCTCAGAGTACGATGACCCAGAGTTGCAACCCAGTCTTTGAAAGGAAAATCATCTTCCTCATCCTCAGTTCTGATGCTGAAGTGGGTCAGAATGGATTTCAGGTAAGCACATGGAAGTAGTTGATCCCGGGGGGCTTTGGACAACTGACACTCCTGACCTCTAGACTGATTCCTGTTGCCGGAGGGCTGTGCCGAAACCCCAAAACATCCATTCAAACCGCTGCTCATCCAGATTTGGGACGATTTCGGTATACACTAACTTGACAATCTTCTCAGGTTTCAGGTCAGGGTATCCAAATTTGGGATGAAATTCCGCAACATTCTCAAGTGTCAGGGCGTCCACTGCCCATGTTTAGGCCGACGGTCCAAGAGTCCGAAGCCTCCTCCCAAGTCTCTGGCTTCGTCACCTTGGGTCATGCGCAACATTTGCAGATAGAAACCAATGGAAACCAGACCAAAAAACTGGCTTGAGGTTTTTCCCTGCATGCTGATGATGATGTCTCAGATAGTTGTCATTGGGTTTCGGCACATTTCTCACATTCTCGGCTTGGCCCTACCCATCCTAACCCCCACCCAGCTGCAACCGGCCCAAGTCCAGTGGCAAATTCTTGGCCCACGCGGCGTGACAAGACGTAGGGCAGCTTCATCTCACCCTTCGGGGAGACCTGGAACCGCCTCCATAACTGCCGCTCGGCCAGAGCCAAACAGCTGATGCCAAAAGTGTGACGGGGAGTCTGGAAGTTGGTGCCTGATGAAGTCGCGAGTGGATGATGGTTAATGCGGGTTGCCCAAAGAACAATGCTACAATGGTGCGCCCACAATGAGGGAAAAAAAAGCGCTGGTTTTCTTTGAATCCGGGCTGGCATTCAATCAATAAACGTTCATTGCAGAAGTCACGATACGAGGCTGATTCGCGATATCATAGTTCGGGGTAGCCGCCAGGAAGTTACATTGACACCAATGGTGATATTATGACCAAAACATACCAAGACCATTTGGAACAGAAATGCTTCTGATCTCACCTGGCATCAGTGAACGAGGTCCTGATACACCACGAAAATCCACAAAAGTTGCACCCTACCCTCTTCACCGCCAACCCTGCAGCGTCTCCCTATCCATCTTGTCCCACAACTCAGCTTGCGTGCACAGGGTGGCCTCAACTCGCACAGGTGCGAAGAAAATATGACAGGCTATGATGGAGAAGCAGCTCCCAAGGCAGCGTCTAAGTTGAATCATCATGAAAAATTCACCCAACCCCGCCAAACAGATGCATAAATGCTTACTAAAAAGAATCCAAGCAAAAACAGAATGTCAAAACAAGTTTGGGTTCAACAACTCTTGGTGAAGAACAAAAATGGTGCCATTGAGTTTGACAGGTACAAGGCCGATGTCGATGAGAAGACATTTGAGAAAGTTGGCAAACTTCACGAGATGTGCTAAAGCATGTTAAAACTGCAACGCAAATGCAACTTACCAAAAGCATCCAAAAGTACAGCAAGAGGAAGTCAAGTTTGGACCTTTGCGCTACCTTTTTCCTTCCACGACTCAGCGACAGGAAAAGCCACTCTTTGGGGTAAATCACTGAGAGTCATGGAGACGAACAGCTGCCGATCCGAACTCTGGGAGCTCCTGGCCGTCCACGTGTTTTGGGAATCATTGGGGTCACCCCGTCTGCGGGTGAAAAAAACTCCAAATGGATTGAATCCCACTGTGTTTTAAAATTTTACCATTTGGTTATTTAACATAGCCATGGAAAATCACAATTTTTAATAGGTAAACCATCTATAAATTAAATGGGTTATTTTCCATGGCTATGTTAAATAACCAGATGGTAATCGTGTTTGTGAGCAAAATCCCCATGTCTGGTGAATGTGCTAAATGATTTCCCACTGGGAACCAACCACGCCTGACCCTTTGCCGGCCCCTTCAGGGCACATCCGGGACAAATCCCAACTCGCAGGCGACAGAGAGAGCCTAGCTCGTAGCTGGGAGGAACTCTAGAAGTCAAGATGGAAGCTGGAGCAACTAGATAAATGAAAATGCTGAAGAATGGAAATGTGCAATATGAGAATATGAGTCGCTAAAACTGGCCCGAGACATTCGCATATGAGTTAAGTGGCGAGAGGCCCTAGTAGTGGATGTAGTTGCCATAGTTGCCACGAAAAATGCAGATAAGAACCTACAAAGATGGGAATGGTGTTGCATCCTGACCGCCTGCAGGGTCTTCAGATTGCAGCATCTCCAACCATCCATGCAAATGCTGGATAAATTCCAAAAACCCAAACCCAAACATGGACCGAAATGAGACAGTTCTTGATTATTTGACATCTACACCACTAGGTCTAGGTCACTAGGAACTAGGATATCCTAGAATTCAGGTCATCATTTACCAACCTTTTCATACCTCCGTACTATCATCCCCACCACAGACTTATCCCCATGCAACTGGGAAACCATGAAAAGAGCATAGTGACAGAGAAGAACCTCAGCGGCTCTCAGTGTGTTTAGGTGGGGATCGGTATAAACATACCTTCTGGTGATTAGATTTGATGGACAATTACCATGTTTTCACGGGGAATTCATCGAACCAAATGGCGTGTGGCTTCCATAGCTATGTTAAATGACCAGGGAGTGTGTGATCCTTGTTCAGTTCAAACAGGTTAATCGATAAAAATAAATCAGCAAATACCTCCGCAATACAGTCCTACATGTATTATACATATATAGTGTGCAAAATATGGGATCGAACTATCTACAAATAAATATATCATGGTCAAATATGATATATCCATATATATATATCCAATGTATGCATGTGTATTATCAAATGACTCTAAAATATGAATTTGTGTGTCGTCCGAATGTGTGTGTATCATATTAGAATGTGTATATATATGTGTGTGTGTGTTTGTGCGTGTGCATCTGTGTGCGTGTGTGTATGTGCGGGTGATTGCATGTCACTCTGAACTTGAGGATTCCTTGCCATGATGTCCAGTCCATCATCTGCCGTGGGGCAAAGGCGAACCTTCGAGGGCAACTGAAGCCGCAAGAAATGAACCTCAAGGCCACACGGAGGTGCTCAGGTCCTATCCTAGCTGCAAATCTAAGGGGGCATCTCTGCAAATGAGTAATTGAGTAATTGTGCATGCAAATGGCGTTCATACATGGACTGCTGATGCCTCATGGCCCCATTTTTGTCATGGTTTCCCTACAACGAACCAAGCTGCACCATGCCCAACCGGCACCACAACTGGTTGGAAAACGAGCCACATCGCCATGGTGCCAACAATGGCCAGGAGCAGGGAGACCGCAGCGATGCGATTCCTGTGGGATGGGCCGTTCAATATGGTGCGAATGATCATATCCAAAAGTGGCCACAAAACATCTTCCAAAATATCAAACCAACTTGCCACTGTAACTTTCATGTGAGTTTCAGGCGGTTTCATATGGATTTCATGTGTGTGTGTGTTGTTGTTTTTCGTGGATTAGCAAGTGGGTGATTTCATCCCTAAAAAACTGGATGTCCAGGGATATACCCTAATCTATATATATATACATATTATACAAGGCTAATTCTGACAACATTATATAAGTATAATCCACTAAATATCTTTCACTATAGTCCGCTTGGCATATCCCCATATTTGCTGGCTAAATCCCAAATATATCCCATGAACATCTCCACATTTCCATTGTTGCCGATTATATCATATTATAAACCATCTTTGTTGATGATTGATTCATATTTCCCCATCCTTGTGGGTTGGAATCTGCCCATCCACTTGGTTTGAAACCAGATCATATCCCATCGAACTCTGGCAACATCTATATAAGTACAACCTAGCATATATGGGAATATCATTTTAAGTAAGTATCGTTATCCGCTATAATCTTTATATACATATATATATATATATATATATTCATTCATTTATTTATTCATTTATTTATTTATTTACATATCATCCCATTATATTCCATGAATCTCCCCATGTTTGTTGCTTTCATGTGGCTTTTCACCTAGATGTCCCGTGGGGCATCTCGCCAAGGCGCTGCTTGCTGAGCTGCGACCGCATTTGTCCCTGCTGCCAGCAGTGCGACGTCAGCGCGATGCCCAGACCCAGCAGGTCACTGAGCAGCGGAGAGCCGAAGATCCCGGCCACGGCCATTTTGGACCTGCATCAGCCCGCTGTCACCGGGATCTCATGGGATACCAACTCTGCTCCATGGCTACTTCCGGCTACTTCCATGGAGCAAAAAAGGGGATTTGAAGTGGAAAATCAGCTGTAACTGGTGGATGTTCAAGATTGCTGGGATTTCTAGTGAGTATTATACTTAAACTACCTAAGGTGATTAACGGCCCATAACCATCATAACCCATATATCATCTTGAGATTCCCCTTATACTGTATAACCTGTTGCACTTGGATGTTACCAGAATCTCATGGGATATAATCTGGTGAAACCCACTGGAAAGGTTTCTGAATCAATCAACTGGGGGAACATTAGCCAGACATCAACAAAGATGGAAATAGAAGCAGCAAAAGAAAGCACCAAACATGAGGATACATGTAATGTAAAGAACGGGATATATACTGGATCATTCTACTTAGACGTCACTCAATTTATATAGCTATAAGGATCTATAAGGATACATTCATACTTTGTGTAGGTTTTTCTGGTTCATATCCCAAACAAAACCCGGATCTTTGGGTGAAATCACCCAGAAAAACGAGCCAAATTCATCATTTTGGCTATGAAAAACCAGCTTTTTGAAGGCATCCACCATTTTCAGACACACGAAAAAATATCATATATCAAGTTGGTTCTTATGTCTCCATAAGTGTCCCCATTATGGTTGATACCATCTGGTAATTTGACATAGCTGTAGAACATCACTGTTTTTTATGGGTAAATGATCGAACTCAATGGGCTGTGGCTTCCATAGATACGTTAAATTACCGGAGAGTATACATAGTGATAGTCATCTTGGAGCCGATCGAACTTGAAGTGTCATGAACTTTCCAAACATCCTCACCCAAATGAGAATATTCCCAGTTTCCAAGCATTCTCAGGAATAGTCCCAGTTCATGTTCCCAAATGGGAATATTCCCAGTTCCATCCTCAAATTTGAAAATCCCAGTTCGTCCCAGTTCCCATAATACACCAATATTGAATACAAATACCCTCTGGTAATTTAACATAGCTATTGAAAATGGCCCATGAAAATAGTGGATTTTCCCATTGAAAATGGTGATGTTCCATTGCTATGTTAGTTTACCAGAGGGCATGCCAACATCAATTACTGATCCACCGACATTTTCCCTTTCCATCGCCTGTTTTGCCGCGCCAAGGCGGTGTCCGCCACCAGATCGCCCACCGAATTGCCCCAGGCCAAGACGGTGATGCCCAACACCTAAGTCGAGAGGTGTTGGGGTCAAACCCTCTGGGTTTTTAGGGATTATTAATGGGAATCTAATGATTCTAACGGGAATTTTGATGAAAATGGTGATACCAATTGGGAATCAATGGGATTTGAATATGGAAATCCATTAGAATGGGAATATCCATTACCAGAGGGGATTATTAATGGCTATGACCCATTCTATTCTCATACACTCTGGTAATGGGTTTATTAATTACAGTACCAGAATATGGGAATGACCATTACCAGAGGGTATGACCCATCCACTTGATAAATTCTATTTGATTATATAATGGGATATGGGAATTTGGAGAATAGAATGGGGATACCAATGGGAAATTGGAATTTTGAGAATAGAAATTTCAGATATCAAAGGGAATGTACTCAATCTATCTCAATCAAGTATGAGAATTTGGGGGGAATATACCGTCCGTAGTATATCAATTGGGATATGACGAAAACATGTGGTATAACGATATAACCTCCAAATGGCGATTTGTATGGAAAACATGATGAACCATGGGAATTCGGAGTACTTTCTGGAGACACCCCGGTAGCCCTGAACTGAACAAATGTTGTCATCGTTTCTATTGCTGTTCTGAATTATGCTCCGTTGAATATCAAGTTCAATCATTTCTAGTGATTCTAGTGCTCTCCTTGGATGTTTACTATTTTCGATTCCAAAGCCATGAAAACCCTAAGTCACCTAAGTCCTTCTGAACCCTCTTGGGTCATCTCCGCCGGCTCGGGCAGGGCTCGGACAAGGAGCCGAGGATGAGATGCCCAGGTTCAATCCAAAGGCTTCCAGCACTGCCACGCACTCATTGGCCAAGAAATTGAACCAACTCACTGCCGAACACATCGCCTCTTGGCGTGAAAAGGCACCGTTGAAAACCAGGAAAGCGAGCGCAAAGGGATGAACCTCATGTTAAGCTTCACTGGGTTGATACTGGTTTTATTTTGCGGTGCATTACATCCAAATACTTATTCATCATTCTTACCATCAATCAATAATGTTCAAACTGTTCATCAACTGTTAAAGGTCCACCCTTTTTGAAGCATCTTGACATGTTTTTTTTCATAAGTTTGTCCCATATCATCCGATGGAAATCGGCGACATTCTCCAATTTTATCATCGCCAAAGCTCCCAGAGCAGTAG